ACAAACACTTGGCTCTCTCATTTTGCTTCAATGGAAACTGAGGCGCATCCATTTCCACTGAAACCCTCGTAAAACTTCTATAATTAGAATGATGATCCTGTGGGGGCTCAAAATCTTGTTTCCCACTTTCTGCTGGTTTGCTTCTGGTTGCTGAGTTGAGTACTGTTTCAAAAACTAAACTTAAGACATGTAAAACACAGACAAGTGGAAGATAAATTTAATAAAAAACATATGTAGGCAGAGAAAAGCATCCCATTGGAAGCTCTTCCAAGAAGAACAAGGTAGGAAAAAGATAAGGCTGAATCCCAAACTCCTAGCAGGAAAGTCGGAAATGCTTCATTACAGACCCCATAGCTCTGCCACAAAGGGACAGAAACATCTCTTTGATATTTCCTTTTGCTCTGAGATGAAGAGACAGCTGAGAATCTCTCAACTTTGGTCGTTTGCTGGAAACTGCATCATAACATTCTTTTATGACAGTTTGTGTTGGACAAATTTTCTCATGTTACTGGAAAAGAATAGTATGAACACACAGTCATTTCCACCTAGACCCAAGCTGATTTATGCTACTGTCTTCACGGTCTCAGGTTAAGTATTATACTGGTGCCCGCCAGCAGTGCAATACTTGATTGTCTGACTGTCAGCATTTCCATCATAAATTTCTGTTTTCAGAGGCTTATGACTCCATTGTAAAATGTCGCTTGGGGGTGAATCTTGCAAGGTCGTTTTAAGTTACAAGACAGCAAACAAAATAAAAAAGTTAGTGTTTTCTAACTCTTTCTTTGCACTTTATCATTTTAAAGGACCTATAAAACGCTCCACTGTTCAGCAGTGTGGTACATGTATGTATGGTATTATTAATATTAGTGTCTCTATAGGGGGGCTACTTAAATAATACTTGAACGGTATTTTACTGTGGGGTTATAAAATGCAATTTTTATTTCACTGATTCAGTGGAATCAGCAAGTCCCTCCCCAAGGTATATCGCAATGCATCCTTGCCCCCTTTTCCATGTCTCAAGGAGTTCTTCAATTAAACTCACAGTAGTTCAGGCTTGGATCCTGAAAATTGCTCAGCCAAATTAGATGAAGGCTCCTAACTGTCTTTGCTCCTCCCTCTTCACCTTTAAGGGCTTCATATCCATTTTTATATTATTGAGTCCCACTGGTATTTGTCCTAGGATCCTGCCCCACCTGGCAATCTTCTTAGGGATGTACTGAGTTTACCAAACTTTGGTCCAGGTTACAGTGCCAGATGCAAATGTAAGGGTCTCGGAGATATATCCTCCCACAGATCTCACCAGAACTCAGCAGTGGTTCTGTAAGCCCCTTCCAGGAAGGCCTTTCAATAAAAACCACAGGCATTGGAGTATTTTACAGATATCACACAAAGACTTTGGGGCATGTTTGGGATTTCCAGTTTCATATGAGATATCCAATTATAAAGCAATTTCCAGGGTAAGATGTAGGATGTGACAGATCATTGTTCCGACTGAAAGTAAGAATGATCCTCATAATATCTTAGCCTGTGCTACCATCCCAGATGATGGATTTGTTCAAGGTAAATTTATAGCACCTTTTCAACTGCCTTCAATTAAACCTTTGAATAAGAAAGAACAAAGTATTTCTCCTCTTCACAAATGCATCCTTAAACTACCTGGATGTTCTTTATCCCCCGGTGCTGCTGACACTTCTCTGCCCCCAAAGTAGCATCATCACTGATCCTGAGAAATCTCCCTCTAAATACTCCTCCTTTCATTTTAGCAAAACAGCTACACTACATTGGCTCCACTATGAGAGTGTTACTTCTTTATCTTTTTCCACTTTAACACCTGGAACTCACCCTTTATGGGCCTGTGGAAAGCCACGTCTTCCAGCACATACATTTACCTCTTTATAAGTGACAAGACATAAGCAGGATGTAGTTAAATATTTCCCTCTGTGCTCTCAGTACCTTCTCCTATCGAGTAATTCCAGCCTCCCTCTAAGACCTCATTTAGTCACTACCTCTGATTTGCTCTTTTTCTCACACCATCAAAAACATTGCCAATGTCCTGTTTGCAAAACTCAGGTCATAAAAGATCAGCTTTAAAATTACATCTTCAAAAAAAGTCTTCAAATCCAGTTTCTGTGGCTTTTTTCTTCCTTTGCTTTTTTTCTGAGGATGAAGGACTATGCTTCTGTTCTAAGCTCTGAAGAATCCACTTTCATTTTTTAATGAAAGGTCAGATGCTGAAGTCATTAGACAACTCCCAGGAACAGAGATTTAAGAGAAACACCTACAATTTTAAGTCTTGTGAGGAAATCCTGTGTGAGGGCAATGCTGCATCACTCTTTCTTTCGACATTCAATCTTATGACAGACTGGACTCAAACCTACTCACCCGCACCGCCTCCTTTTTCCAGTTCCTCGCTTCTAGTAAGTATTTCTCCCTCCCCCTCATAATTTCTCTCTCTGCTATATGATAGGCTGCGTTTAGTCCCAGCTTCCGCTTGCTGGAGTCAGCAGAAACTCCAACGCTGCCAAATGACAACAGCAACTGGAGCCTCACGGAGTGCCAGCTCCCACAGGGAGACAGGTAGCACGGCTTTGAAATACAAGGCACAGGCCACGGGCAAGGAGGCAGAAGTGGGTGTCCAGAGGTTAATAGAGCAATTCCCTTTCAACTGGATGGACTTCTGTGAAGCCACAGCTGGAATCTAAAGCCTCTCTTCTCCGGCCCCTTGGTCATAACTCTCCTCCCCAAAATCTCCCCTGGGGCATACAAGTTGAGTTCAAATCATAGTGAAATGCTCTGGAAAATTTCAGGAAAATGTGTTGAGTTGCTTTGGAGGGATGTTAAAGAGAGGAAATACAGCTAAAAAAAATAAAAAAGACATAGCTTTGTACATGCATACTTTAAAGAGGCTGAACTCTAATGGGGCCAGACATTACTCAGATAATTTTGATCCAAGAACATTTGATGTTACCTAGGTTATAAATTATTAAGTAGCCACCTGCAGTACTATAAAATTGCTAATCGCACCCATTTAGGAGAAAAATCTGACAATAGGTGTCTACCACAAGTCTTTCCTTCCGATTGCTTTTTGAACGCACTTATTTTGAGATTCACTATTCATATAATTGGGCAGAATCAAAAAGTGATTTTTAATCATCATAGCACTTAATTAATAACTCTGAAAAATCAAATTTCAAAACTGCTGGATGCTGCATCATTTTAGCATATGCAAATTTAACTTTGTTTTGTGCTTCTGTGGCTCAGTTAAGAGATATACTAAGCAGCACATTCCACAAGCAGGCAAGATATACCATGATAAAAGGCCCCAGGTATCACAACATGACTTGCTGATCCGAACTTCTGAAATCTTACCTGGACCAAATACAGCTGCCATCCCCTACCTGTACCACATTTGTACCTGCTCAGTGTGTGCTCACACTATAGGCACGTTAAAACAAAACCGTCATAGTTACAAGCAAAGCTAAACAAATTAATCTATTTGGACTGACATGCACAAAAGAGATATCAAACAGAAAAATGAAAAGAAGGTCAGGTGGTCATGTAATTAAATCTTGTACTGATAATTCTTCAAGGACAAGAGTCAGCATTCAACTATGCTTCTAAATTCCTGGATTAACACTGGTCCCACTCAAGCCAGTGGAAGATCTCTAGTATACTTCGATGGAGCAGAGTTTTACCCCTCTATCTTTCACATGGTGAATTACACAACCTTCATGATAGATCACTAAACATTTCTTGAAATATGTTTCATAATTAAATACATTTCCACAAAGTCAGTTTTTAAAAATGCAAGTTTATCTATGAATTACACTAATCTATATTTAGTGAGCTAGAAAAATTCCTGTTATTATCGGCAAGAATGCATAAGGAACAGTGTATCATCTTTCAGCATAAATGTTTTGCCTTTTTTCCATTTGAATTGGGACAATATTGTGTTAACATTCTTTGCACATGATGATCTTTCATATCAAGGAGAAAGGTAACACTACAACGTCACTTATCTTTCAAGCTACCTTTTTACCATATAGTGCCCCATTTCACTCAGTGGTGTTATGACACTAACAGAATTGCCATGATAAACCAAGATATGGTGTATTTCAAAGAAATTTGCAAGATGACTAAGTCATTTTCCATCCTCTACAAAGCACAATGTTATGAATATTCTGTAGAAATGATGAGTCGGGATTTTTTTTCCTTTTCTTTTGAAGCAGAAGACAGATATACAGCACAATTGCAAATTTCTCTTATTTGGGTTTTCAATACCTTTCTATATATAGCTCTCTCTTCCTTGGCTTTTCAAAAGAAAACTACTTGATTTAAGAATGTTTCAAGCTGAAGAGAATCTGTGTAAATATACCCTGAGAGTAAACATGGAAACTAGTCTATCTGTACTGACAATGAAGTACATGGCAATAATATGTTGCCCGTTCTGTCTAAAATATCTGACTAGTCCAACAGGGCTTGTTATATGCAAATATTTCTTCCTAAGCTCTTCTCACAGGCTTTGAATTCCCTGCAGCTTTTAAGGAAGCCACATTTCCCGAGTTGTAGTTCCTCCCCTTTGCTCTTCCAACTCCTAAGATTACTTTTTCCTGTTGCAAAATCTTTGCTAAACATTTAAACAGTTTCTTCACTAAGTGTGCTTTTGGCTGTAGGAGATTTATTATTATCCAGGCTTGATACTGCATGGATAACTCACTCTTCCTAGTGCTTTTTATACACATATACATATACATATACATATACCTATACATATACCTATACATATACATTTATGTACAATGAACTATTTTTTCTGAGCAATGAAATGAGCATCCTTCTGCACTAGTGTTCTTCAGTGGAAAGAACAGACATGCAATCTGATCACGCTGCTGCTCTGCATTTTCCATAGCTATGAGACTTCAGAGTTACAGAATAGATAACATTTGCAAAGAACCAAAGCCAAAAAATGTGCATGAATCAAAAAAGAGTAAAGGTTTCACCTGGCAAAGCCGACTCCTCTGCTGACTCCATTAGCATCTCTTAATATTCTGGTGGAAATTACATGTCCAAAGGGTTTCAGCATGTTCTCCAGTTCCTGCTCATCCATGGAAACAGGTAAATTTGAGATGTATAGATTTGTGGGATCTTGCTCTTGTTGCTACGACAAAATAAGAGAAATATCCTCAGTTAGACTTAGCACAACAGAATAGCTTACATTTTGTTCAACAAAAGCAGCTCACAATAGGATCAAGCCAAGAATTTATAGCTGCATTAGAAGCAAAGCTGGGCAATCTGTTCATGACGACAACATACTTGCCAAATTTCTGCAAACTCTCAACCATGTGCTTAATTCTGTGCGTGATTGCTCTTACTGAACTCAGTGACACTACTCATTTATAGAAAATTACTCTCATGCACAAGCGTTCTTGGGTTTGTGTCCCAATTTAGCAAACAGACTGTGAAGAAAACATGATTTCCACAAATGTGCTCACTGTTAACACAAATAAAGAAAATCCAACACGTTTTAACCAGATGTGCTTTCCAGCCTACAGACTTCCCATTCAACCTGTTCATCATGAGGAAGGTTAGTCAAAAACACAGAACACTTTCCATACTATCTTTTCTCTTTTTTTTTTTTTTTCCCCATCAGAAATGTCTTGGTTGATACTGTGCAACAAGACCTAACTGGGCAGGGGGGAGTTCTGCAGTTCAGTCTAAGATCCTGGTGAGATAGGTCATATGTTTATTCTCAGACAGAATTAAAATATCTTACAAAATAAAGCCTGTAGTATGAATAATTGAGAAAACACATTCGAAGACAGCTTTCATGTTCTATTTTGGATTTTTAGGCTAAACTTTCCATTTTGGCAACCATTCCAACTCCTATTCTTGCTTGCCCAGCTACTGCAAAGAAACATCAAAGAGGTATAGATGCAGTATGTAAAATAAGTGTATTAAAGCAGTAAATAAAAACTTTGTCTACAGACAACCAGGTCTTGATTACATTAAATCAATTTAGTTAAGCCCTTGCAAATTTTCATGGCTCTGGTTCCATTTTTATTGATACAAGCTTTTCATAATATCTGATCACCTGCCAGTATAAGCCTGATTGGGATCAGGCACGACTACATAATTTTAGCCAATGCTTAATAACCAAAAACATAAGATACAATCTTTATGCTGTGTAATAAAACAGACAATGCCTTACCTGACAAAGTCTTCTGAGACAGATTTTTGGATTCTTTTCCATTGCACTTTCTAATAGGCAGAATTAATTTGTACTTGTTCAGCACTGAGATTTATATGACAACAGTATTACCTTTTTTTGCTATACGGGGTCCTAAAACCAGATTAATAATCTTATAGCAGCACCACAACCTTAAACTGAAGAAATTACACACAGTCCTGCCGCCATCTGTCCTGGTTTAACTAAACTAGTTTCAAATTACAATGCATTATAATCAGTGCAGATGTGTCTTGTCAAGCACAAACACGTTCTATTTCTAGAAGATGTATGAAGACAGGACAGAATCAAGATGTCTGCTCCATCTCTGCCTTGGACATTCAAGGCCTTGAAAATGGAAGCAGAGATTGTTTCAAGCTGTGATTCACACACCCCATCACTGCAAGGACAGGAATGAGTAAGCAAAGTCTCATAGCTGAATACCAGAATCAGAAGTCAAAGTAAGTTTTCAGCTTCCCTTACCCCAGGCTCAAAGGAAATTTTAGCCCTTTTGGATGAGAAGAAAAGCTGCAAAGAGCCCCAAGGGTCCAAAATCAGGAGGCGTGTAATAATGTTTTACTATATGATTTGTATTCAGACCTAAGAGCTGTGAACACTTGCCTTTGGGCTTAATGCCCACTGCATTCTAGGTTTGCATCTCCAGACCAACCGTTACCCCACAAAACGACATATTACCATGCAGGTTGAATTCCCCACTATTTTATGAAACAGAAATAAAAGAACAAAGTAGTCACATTTTCAAGCTGCTGTTCATAAAAACGTACCCAGTTATTATCATGCCTTACAGAAAGGGGCAGAGGAGAGGAAAACCACACACACACACACACAAACAGCGAACTTACTGCAAATTGAAGTTGCAAACCCCAGATCCAGAAGCACACACTTTCCCTTTCCAGTCATCTTTCCCTGTAGTCATCTTCCTTTCTCTCACTGCAATTTACATTCATACAGATCTGAAAGCTAGTTCCTCTCCAATAAGCAAGACATTAGTGAGGAGTCAGAACTGGTACAGCATCGACAGTTTGAGGAAAATCATGCAAACAGTCCTGGAGGGAAGGTACGCATATATGAGCTTCAGATCACACTCGTAGCTTTGGGGAAAACAAATAAACAAAACCTCAAAACATTTTCTTTCTCCTTTATTTTTTTCCCCTTTATTTTTTTCTCACATTTTTCCCTTTTTCTCTGTGCTAACTATTTAAGCTCCATTGTTTGTTATTGTCTTCTTCCTCATACACAGGCCATAGAAAAAAAGGAAATATATGAGTTAGCAAGCATCTTCATTTTTACCAAGTACTTTCAAGATGTGAGCAATGGAGGCAGTTAAAGCCGAGGCATTATAGAAGCAAATCAGAGTAGAAAGGTTTGCATTCCAATAGGCACATTTTTTTACAGAAAAAATCACATTGTTATGCAGACCTCTACTCATTGATTGGTTAAGGACCTTGACTAATCAACCAATCAGTGCTCAAGGACTGATGTCCCTTGTCAATATTTAGAAAAAATATGCAGATGAGATCCTCACTGCCAAAGGACAGATTAATATGAAAAAGGCAGAGCTATGCATCAGTAACTGCACAACAGCCTTTGCTTTTACTGAAGCAATTCAGTCCCACAGAATATTAAAATAAGAACTTTTCTTTTGACTACTCAGTTTTCAAGCTGGGACAAACAAATCAAATAAATAAGAACCGTCGCCACAGTGTCTCACTTCTGGAGTAGGAACACATAAGCCTTTTAACTGTGTTAGAGATTAAATGCCATTGTTTTAAATATCCATGGAAAGTTTAGCTACCCTCTGAGGATGAATGAAAGACGAGCAGGCCATAGTCACTCTCTCACAAGGATTTACCAAGCCTAGCTTTTATCAACGTGATAAACAGGAGTTACAAGCAGAGAGAGACAGATGAGGCCTCCCAAGCTACCTTCACAACACAACAGTGTTTTCTAAGAGAGAAAAAAACATTCCACGTTATTTTTCCTTACTATACAAATACAACATTTAGAGAAATACCCCTTTCCTTTACAGAGAAGTATCACTCCACAGAAGCCACATCTCGCAGCACAAACTGAAACAAGATGAAAAATGCCTTCCCAGCAATGAAGCCTGGCTGCCTGGCCACCATGCAGCCAGACCCCACGGCCACTCACCCTTACAAGCCTCTGTTTCTCAGGCTCAGCCCCTGCTTCCAGCCCCTGGCACCAGGACTCCTTGTGATCTTTTTGAGTTGTGCAGAGATCCCCTCTGCAGTGTGGAGGTGCTGAAACATACTCCTTGTTCTGTCCGAGCATTTTCATCCCAGATCCCCCAAGCTCCTGCATGACATACTTGCTTCCCCAGCCCAGTGTAGCTGCTGAGCTTTTCAGTGTGAAAGGCAGGCATCTTACTGCTCAAAACGTGCCTATTTCTTCACAAGATGAGCCTAACCAGGACCCTAAGTCCAGCACCCCACAAACTACTATCCTTTCATAATCCTATCTAGTTGACAGTCAGGTTTCTGCCTTCAGTGAAGATCACATCCCAAGATTGAAGGACCGGTGGCACAGTGGCATCTGGATCCACACAGTATGGCCCAGACTCCTTCAGGTTCAATGTCTACAGCTTTTTCTATGGTGTTAAAAAATGCTACTTCCCATGTTGGGATGCTAAAATCCCGTTTATTATTGTGTCCGATCTCAAACTAGACTTATTGACTAGTCACCAGTGAGAGAGCTGAAAGTAATTCATGGGATACAGTCAATTCAGAACTGCATTTTCCTCTTATGCCCCCAGTATTTTGGAAGGTAAGAGGAGGAGTGGGCCAGCAGAAAGCCACACACTCCCCACAAACACCTCCAACAGCACTGTGCCTCAGGTGGCCCACACCTGCTGACTTAAAGCCACCGCAGCGGGGCCGCCGGCTGAGCAGAGCACCCGACACCACCTGGGCTTTGCCATTCCTGTCCCACTTTTCCCCTCCAGCCCACACCAGAGACACTGGGCTCATCCTGCACCTCAGGGGAATGACAGAGTCTTCCCAAAGCACCGTGGCCTTTCAGGTTTAATCCCTGATGTGTGAGAAGAGTCCCCGCAGGGTGATCAGGGCCAGACGCTGCAGCCGCCGGCTGCCACCCTGGGGGTTCAGAGGAGGAGGGGGCTGCCAGAAGCAGCGGAGGGCTCACCACAGCTCCTCTGCCTTTCCCATACCCTGTGTGCCAAACGCAGCTAATTAATGGGTACAAGATCAGGCCAAGTTGCTATTTCTTGAAGGGAGCGGGAAGGCAGCTGTGAAACCTGCTGTGTGTGCCAGCTGCAAAAGCATCATGCTCAAAGCATGCAAACTTGCGAGCGCAGTCTCAAGGCACTGTCAAAAGCCTGCTCCTGGCCATTCTTGCTGAAGTTGATTTTACCCAAGATCTCCCATTTGACAGCTTGAGGAGGGTCACATTTTTTAAGCACAGCTCACACTTGCACCACAGCCCCAGAGAAAGAGGAGTGAACTCATCCAGTGAACCCCAACCATCTGAAACCCTGACAGCTTCACACTCTAGACTGATTCTGGGGTCCTGGTGTGTGCTAGTCTGCATGGGTACACGGAGTGTAGCAGAATGGGCCAGCAAAAAAACTCCACCAAGTTTAAAAAAAAATTAAACAAATTGAAGCTCCTCTCCAGAGAAGCGCGGGACTTTTTGCAACTGCCTTTGCTCTCACCCCAGCCTGTTTCACCATCGTTGTAGCCCAGATACCTCAGTTGCTCTGGGTTGTGGGCTTGAGGGCCATTAGCTGCATGCACATGTTGTAGTTAGACCTTTCTGGCTGCCGAGTGGGCATGATAAACACTCCCAAACTGGTCAAAACTGCAGTTAGGAAGGTTTAAAATTGTGAGTTCTGCAACAAGCAGTATGTCAAAACCAAGTTTTCGATTAGCTCGGAG